ACTTAGTTCCCTGTTACTGGACAGGCGAGTAAAGAGAAAGAGAGTTTTCCACAGAAAGTCTGCCCTTACGGGCCATTCTCGCTGAGCTAGTTTATCACCACAAACTAGGGCAGGCCTTCTACTCAGTCCACAGATGAGGAACTCAACCCTTAGATCTTAAGAGGTCCCCTGTAGCCCCTTAGAGACTAGGCTGTGTCTTTGGGCTGACTACCACCACCGTCTCATATGTATACCTCTCTGCCCATGCTTCAGTAGCTCTGGGCAGGCCTGCACCCCACAGTCTTATCTACCTGGTGCCCTGGTGTGATTCCTTCCATACCTTTTTGGGGCCTGAACTTGACCATGCAGATATTCATGCTCCCCACTGCCTGTACCCTCCACCCCTGTCATCTCTCCTTATAGTTCCTCTTCCCTAGTGGCATCTGGCTACTAAACTAGCCTAGTGACCCAGTGACTGTCCAACTGGGAAGGGATGTGATTCTCTTAATGTCCTCCTCTCTCAGCTGCACTTTCCCCCAAAGACAAGCTCTTCTTTGTTCTGTTGAAAAGACATCTCTCAGCAGCTCATGGGGAAGGGTGCTGTTACCTTAGGCTTAGATTATGGGGAAGTTGGGATTTTATTCTTAACTGTGGGTCCTGTTCATTCACTCTGGGCAATCCTTGGGCCCTTTGTATCCTAGATCACCCCACAGCAGTGCTCACTTTCATGTAAGATATCCTGAACCCCCTTTGACTTTTCCTTGATTGTGGGCAGCATGACCAACAGCAGCAGAGGAAGGCTCTATGAAGCAGAGAGAAAGCATCCCAGCCTGCTTCTGCCCTGGGTGACCTTGGGCAGGTCATTTCACCTCCATCTGGGCTCCCTGTCTGGAACAGGGTGGTGCTAGTGAGGATGAAATGAGAGGAGAGTTGGGAAAACACTTGCAGATTGCTTGGTGCAGTAAACTCACTCAACACATCTGATAGCAAATCAAATCTGTTCAATCTATAAGAACAGAACTGCAAAATACTTATCACTGCATGTACTTCTGAAAAGTGACCCAAAGTTTCGATTTCTGACCCCATTCGACTTCCTCTTTCTCCAGGATTCTGACAAAAATGAAATTTCTTTGACCTTGAAATCTGAGCAATGGTTTTTCATGCAACTACGAGGAGGGCCTGAGAGCATGACCCCCCCCCCCACACACACATCTTACTACATGTTACACTATGGCTACAATAGCTGTAGGTTAGGGTTGATTGACCCTTTTTCAAGTTTACCAAAGTAAACACAAATTTGAAATAGTTCAAAAATCAAATAATTTGGTTTATTTTTTAAAGATTTATTTATTTATGCATACAAGAGCTGGGGTATAGGCCAGAGATGTCGGGGGTGAGAGGAGTCACCAGAGACAGAGTGGGGAACAGAACAGTCAGACTGAATGAAATACACTGCTGAGGGGAGCAGCAGGCAAAACAGGACAGATCTGCTGTGCCATGTGGGTAGCTCCTTGGTCAGCCGGGGAACGAACTCGTGCTGCAGAGGCTGCGGATTGCTTTATAGTGCGGTGCCTAACCCCTTGCGCTACCAGGGAGGCCTGTAATTTGGTTTTATTTATTTATTTATTTATTTTATATTTAAAGAGCAGGTTTATTAGGGAAAGGGAAAGGTTTTACTAAGAGAGGCCTGCATGGTTGCAGGCAGGCGGCCTTGAGGAGAGCTGCCTGCACTGAGGGAGGTCAGTAAAGAGAAGTCCTGGCATGGTACAGGTCACAGGCAGCCAGAAAGCTGTGCCCTGCGTAATTTGGTTTTATAGTGAAAAGCAGTCCCTTGTCTTCACACTTCCATCCTTTCACCCAGTATGTGTTTATGATACAACAGCTTTTAACTCTTGTGTCATGGTATGTATTCCTATGGCTGAAAAACAGTGTATTTATGTTGCTTTTTCAGAGAAATCCTTCAAGAGTAAAATAAAAAAGAAAGAGAAGACATGAAAGGAAAATTAAACAAAGAACTAGAAGCGACATACTTGACTAAGAGAAAAAGGAATGAGAAAATGAAGGGGGGAAAAATCTGTATGTCTACCTATCTACCTGTCTGCCTATCCACCCATCTTTCAATCTATCTGGCTCCCCAGGGCTAAGGAGGTGAGACCCTAACTTAGGTTTGTTGAACAGAGTCCACCTTCTGTTATGTTGTATCTTAAGTCCAGTGCTCTTTGGCCTCACTGGACCCTGGAAAACCAAATTTCATAGGACCCTACTAGGAGCAAGTTTCCAGTCTCCTGTGTTTTCCCTACACCCTCTGTTCTTCCTTTGCAGCTTTGTGCATCCTGAAAAGGCAGGCCATGTGCAGGCCTGGGGAGGAGGTTGGGAGCCAGGGAGCTGACACTTAGCCCTCTTAAGAGTAAACCTCCAGCATATCTACCAAGATGGACAAATGACAAAAACATATTATGCAAAAAAAAAAAAAAAAGCTGCAGAATATATAACTTTATGGCATATAAAACTTAATAATGCCAAATAGTTTCATATTTGATCAAGCCACATCATAAAAGAAGCAGCTTTTACTGAAAATCTGAACTATAACACAACTTAGTAAGTGAAGACTCTATGCCAGTAATACAAACACATTTTAAAATAGTAAACCAAGCTAGGAGATTTTTGTAGTAATAATGACTTTAGCTGCAGCCTAATTTTGCTTCTGTTCCTGTTGACATCATCAGATTCAAATGCATGAATCTGAAATGGCGCTACCGGAGTGAGTTTCCATTGGCTAAAAGATGGCACAAGACATTGATCCTCAAATAATTAGGATTTTAATATTCCAATGAACTGATAAAGTGCCCATTCCCTGGATGAGGGGAGCTGTCCCCACCCCAAAGTCTCCCTGAAATCCTGGAGACTACTCCTATGAATCCATCCCTCAGCCTGCTCCCCAACCCCCTCACTTGGAGTGTGGCAACTGCCATTCCCACTACTTCCCCATATGTCACCCCCAGTTTGGAAAACGACTGCACACCTGTCATTTATCTCCAGGCTCTGTTCATACAAGCATTTGTTGTACAATTTTATTGAAGATGTAATGGCAATGGAAGATTACAACACAGCATTATACAGGCAACACCCCGAGGCTGAATATTAGAATAGATACAACTCTCCTACAGATGCACAGTCTAACAATAGTCAGACTTTCTGCTTTCTTGTTCTTTTTATTCCCCCAACTTCACTGAGATGTGGTTGATATATAACATTGTGTACATTTAAGGTTACAATGTGTTGTTGTTGTTGAAGATCTAAAATACACTACTGGGCCCCCTAGTGGTGCAAGGGGTTAAGACGCAACCAAAGAAGCTATCTGCAGCCACTGCAGCACGAGTTCGATCCCCAGTCAGGGAGATACCCACATGGTGCAGGAGACCTCTCCTGACTCTCCTGCTGCTCCCCTCAGCAGTGTATTTCAGTAGATCTGCCTGTTCTGTTCCCCAGTCTGTCTCTGGTGAATCCTCTCACTCCCCCATGCCTCTGGTATGCATAAATAAATAAATTTCCTGTTTGCATGACAAGATCTTGTATGTATAAATAAATAAATCTTTAGGGGCCTCCCTGGTGGCGCAGGGGGTTAAGCACTGCACTGTGGGGCAATCCACAGCCTCTGCAACGCCAGTTCGATCCCTTGCCGGCCAGGGAGCAACCCACATGGCTCAGTGGACCTCTCCTGTCTTTTCTTCTGCTCCCCTCAGCGGTGTGTTACAAAAAATAAATAAATAAATAAATAAATAAATAAATAAATAAATAAATAAAAATACACTTCTGAGGGGCCTCCCAGGTGGCACAAGGGGTTGAGTCATAGCACTATGAAGTTATCTGCAGCGACTGCAGCATGAGTTCTATCCCCAGCCAGGCTGCTAGCCCACATGGGGCAGCAGACCTCTCCTGTCTCGTCCACTGCTCCCTTCAGCAGTGTATTTCAGTCAATCTGCTTGTTCTGTTCCCTGTCTCTGGTGAATCCTCTTGCCCCTCCCCCCCCCACACCTCTGGCCTGTACCCCAGCTCTTGTATGCATAAATAAACAAATCTTTAATAAAATAAAATACACTACTGAGGGGAGCAGACAGTGAGACAGGAGAGGTCTGCTGCACCATAAGTGGGTCAGCTCCCTGGCCAGGGATCAAACCCACTACTGTGGCCACAGTAGTGATAGTGCTAAGTGTTAATCCCTAGGCCACCAGGGAGGCCCTACAATGTGTTGGTTTGATATACTTAGATATTGTCTGATTGAATGCCATCAGAGCCTAAGCTAATAACTCTCAAGTCACATGATTGCCATTTCTTTTTTGTGGAAGAACATCTCTTACTGCTCTCTCTTAACCTCCCTCTCGCTGCTTTCCTCTTCCAAGACTCTCTTCCTCCCCAGACGTCAGCTGTCAGTGTCCAAATTCATATTATTTTTCTCCTGCAGACTTAACTCAGTTTGCTTTGCAGCTTCACCTCCACCTCTTCTGAACTTGCCTCACTCAAAAAGAACCATCAAGTTATTTATCTTTTCTTTTTTGTTCCATCAAGTTATTTTTCTAACCTCAATATAAAATATAATGTAATTAATATAAAAACAACAGTTATCAGGGCCTCCCTGGTGGCACAAGGGGTTAAGCACCACACTATGAAGCAATCCGCAGCCTCTGCAGCACGAGTTCGATCCCTGGCTGGCCAGGGAGCAAGCCACATGACACAATAGACCTCTCCTGACTCGCCCGCTGCTCCCCTCAGCAAGGTACTTCGGTCAATCTGCTTGTTCTATTCCTCACTATCTCTGGTGAATCCTCTCACCCCCTACATCTCTGGCCTACACCCCAGCTCTTGTATGCATAAATAAATAAATCTTTAAAAAGAAGAAACAGTGATCAGTTGTTGTTTAAATGGCATTTCCCCCTCCTGCTATGCAGTTGGCCATATAAGAAAGAGAAGCGATTGTGTCTACCGTTTCTAGAGCAACTACTCAGCATATATCTTATCTCTAGTCCTCACAGGTCCCCTGTGAAGTGGTAGATGGTGTCACTCCATGACTGCAGATGACCACACTGAGGCTCAGAGAAGGTTAAGTGACTTGCCTGAGGTCACCCAGCTGCCAGTCACGCCTGCCTGCTCCCAAGCAGATGAATCAACACTCTACTCAGGATCTTACTGAAATGCAATGGTTGAGGAAGAACTTTTGGGTCAGCATAGCTGTGACCATCATCATTGTCTCCGTGGGCCTGGGTCTTCTCCTGTTCTGCATCTGTAGGTGGCTGCTTAGACGAGGTAACGGCCATCTCACCTGGGCAGGCAGAAGGGAGGGAGAGGTGATTGTGAGTGCATTAGGCTTCCCTTAAGTCAAGAAGGTTAGATCGGTATGTATGTTTGGCCTGAACTTTGAGCTCTGGTGTGAGTTCTAACCCTGTCTCTAACTTGTGTCTCTTTCTATGCCTAAGTTTCCCCATCTACATAGTGAATAGGGGAAAAGTAAGCTAATTTCCAAGAACTCTTCCAGCCCCAGGCTTGGATGCAGTAGCTGTTTCCAGGCAGCCTGTGTTACAGTACTTTCTCTCTCCATTATGGCTGCTGATCATAGTTCTTTTTTTTTAATATTTATTTTTTATTTATTTATGCATAAAAGAACTGGGGTATAGGCCAGAGGTGCAGGGGGTGAGAGGATTCACCAGACACAGAGTGGGGCGCAGAACAGGCGGATCTACTGAAGTACACTGCTAAGGTGAGCAGTGGTCGAGACAGGAGAGGTCTGCTGCACCATGTGGGTTGCTCCCTGGCCAAGGATCAAACTCATGCTACAGTGGCTGGCAATAGCTTGATAGCCCTGAGACTTTAACCCCTGCACCACCAGGGAGGCCCTGATCACAGTTCTTATCACACACCTGAAAGAGCACAAGTCTGTTATGTGTCAAAAACTGCCTTAATTCCCAACTCATTGAGTTGTATTCATTAAATACATACAACACTTTGTATGTCAATTATATGTCAATAAAATGTTTTTCAAAAAAAGTTGCCTTCAGGTGCAAAAAATAGACTTAACTCATAATTAATTACTTTGCCACCATGATTGCCTCCTCTAAGATCACACTCTGAATTTTCTGGTACCATATCTGCCTTTGGCCAGAGGTTGTTGACATTGTCAGGCATAAACAAACAACTTTCCAGAGATTAACACTAACATTCAATTATCTACAAACGGGCTTCCACTTTCTTATTTATATCCAGAACACACCAACCCCTTGATTCAATAGTGTGTTTTCTTGAGATCTTATCCCTTTTCTTCTGGAGATCTTATTCTTTAAGCAATGACCTTAGCCTGGGGTACAACTGCAAATGGTAAATACCCTGAGAGGTACAGTCACCTTTCCCAGGGCACACTGGGCAGGTATCCCTCAGGATCAAGCCACTGTCTTCCCCTCGCATCTGGACAGAGCCTCAGAATCACACTTTGCCCAATGCTGGAAGGTGAGGGCTGCACAAGAAGCAACACATTCTTGTCATTCTTCTCAATCTCTTTAGTGATAAGAAAATTAAGACTCAGAGAGAGGCAAAGCCTTGGCTGAGGGGTTGGTGGCACAGTTGGGACTAGAACTTGGATCCACTGGGTTTCCCATTCAAAGTCTTTTCTCCCTACCCTTTGATGGTAATTGGTCATTTTTTTTTAATACAAAAAGTATATTCTGGCCCCAGAATATACTATAATATACATAATCCTCTATCCGTTTACCTTCTTACACGTTTTCATTCTCAGATATGAACACGTGACAAAGCAAAAACTTTACCTATTCTCTTTTATCTTGACCCACTCTTATCAACAAGCAGGTAATAATAACAACTTATATGTCTAGCATGTCAACACTGTTTTCTATTCTTTACCTCATTTTCTCCCACCCCCACTTTTGGCTATTCATTCAGTCAATATTTCTGAGTGTGACTATGTACACTGCAACAAGAAATAAACACAGACCACTTGATCCTGCCCTTGCTGGATTAGCTCAAGGCTATGTGTTCACACAGCCTGCGTTACATTCTGGCATTAACTTTTAACCACTGACTAACTCTATGTCCCTAAGCCTGTTTCCTCTTGGCGGTTCTTCCAAACATCCTGAAACCACCAGCTCTCTGAGGACTTCTAAACTCTAGAATCACAACATTTGCCAATTCTTCCTGAAATGATATGCTTTCTTTTTTGCCTTAGAGAAGAAATTGGAAATTGTCAAGAACTTGAAACAAAAACGAAGAGATGAAGAAATGATGTATGAGTAAGTAGGAGGAAATCCTTCTGCTTTTTAATTTTGAGAACACCCTGTTCACTTCCACTCTGGCAACTAGGTTACTGTATTAGTATGACTCAAACACCCACTTTCTGTGGAGCCACTGAAATGCCCTATCTGCCAACTCTCCCCATTTAAGGGGAGAGATCTCAGGTCTTTGATGTGCAGGTCACCATCTGGCTTGCTGTTCTACAAATCCTCTCTCATCTCATTTATTTTGATAAGGGTCAGACTCTGTGTTTTGGGCCACACTCAATGTTAGGTTACCCTTTTTTTAAAAAAAAAAGATTTTTATTTATTTATGCATACAAGAACTGGGGTACAGGCCAGAGGTGTGGGGGGGTGAGCAGATTCACCAGAGACAGAGTGGGGGAACAGAACAGAACAGAACAGACTGACTGCAATACACTGCTGAGGGGAGCAGCAGGCAAGACAGGAGAGGTCTGCTGCACCATGTGCAGGCCTGGTTACCCTTCTTTTCTTCAGGTGGCTTACAAGGATAGTCCTCTAAAAGCTATTGTGCTGAACAAAATTATGCCATTCAATTTACTTTCGCATTTTATGATATCATTGGGGCTCTAAGATTGCAATCAGTTGTCAGGACCTCTGAGGCTTAATGATTCACTAGAAAGACTCAAAGGACACATAAAAGTGATGTCATTCATTGTTATCAGTTATGACAATGAAAGGACACAGATTAAAATCAGCAAGGAAAAAGGCTCATGCTTCCAGTTGTCCCATCCCAACAGAATCAGTCTTCCAGCAAGGATGTGTGACAGCATCTGTGAAGCCTCCCAACCAGAAAAGCTCCCCCAGCCTTGTTCCTACGGGTTTTATTGGGATCGATCACATAGGCATGGAGTGAGCATTCAGTCCCTTCAGAGGTCAAACTGAAACAGCATGGCCCAGGGCCCCACACAAACAAAAGCAGGCATTCACCATCAATCTCACTAGCTGGCCCATGGCCCCAGGTATGCAAACACACTTATCTGGCAGGATATTTTAGAGCTTAGAGCTGGTCAAGAACCAGCTCTTTTTTCTTTTGGGGTGGGGGAGGGAGGACGGAATCCACTATTTGAAACAAAATTCATGCTTTTCTAAAATGACTTCTGTTGGGGCTCAAGGGACCCAACAAATAATAGACCTCTTCCCCACCGATTCTTACTACCTTGAGGAATAAGACAAACCTGTCATGCAGTTAGGGATCCAAAATGACGCCTGTATTGAGAATAAAACTGCATTGCAGAAAGTGACTCTTCTGGAAATGCCTGTGCATTTCCCGATACTTGACCAAGCAAATCCTGTAGAGTTCAGAGGCTTGTCCCAGAGAACCTTAAGTCTCTGCTGCAGGGCAGCCTGCTGTCTCTAAAAGGTAAAGACCCAAGCAGTTATATATCTTGCTGTAGTGAGGCTGGCTGTGGAGGAACAAGTGGGAGATGCTAGATTTTTCCCAAAATCAGATAGATTTTCCTCTTTCCTGGGAAGAACCAAAGAGCCATAGAGAGAGGCCTTTGTGGGGGAACTCTTGCCACATGTCCCCTTCTGCACTCACCCAACAACCTCAGTATGCTTATGCATCCTCAAGGACACTTAACCACACATAGGAAGTCAAAATTTGGCTCAAAAGAATCTAGTATCAATTTGGAAATCAGAGTATTGAGGACACAATGGGGATCTAGGGATAAAGACTTCCTTGGAATCAATCTTTTTGTTAGAACTTCTTACAGCCCTATACATGAAAACAGAAAAGTGCATGGGGTAAGAGTACAACTCAATGGATTTCCACAAATTCAACAGACCCAAGTAATCAACATCCAGGTCAAAAAACAAAATTACCAGCACCCTCAGCAACTTACATTCCCCTCCAGTCACTGCACCCTAAGGATAACCACTGTACAGATTGATTTTCTCCTTGTTTTCATGCTGTATTTAAGTGCATGCATATATAAATATACAGTATTATTATTATTTGGTATTTGGCTTCTTTTTAAAAAAAAAAAAAAAAGATTTATTTATTTATTTATACAAGCACTGGGTACAGTCAGAAGCGCGGGAGGGTGAGAGAATTCGCCAGAGCCAGAGCAGGGAGCAGAACAGGCAGAAGGACCGAAGTACACTGCTGAGGGGAGCAGCGGGCAGCAGGAGAGGTCTGCGCACCATGTGGGACCCTAGCCTGGTGGCCGGGGATTGAACCAGTGCTGCAGAGGCTGCGGGCAGCTTCGCAACACAGCGCTCAACCGCTGCGCCAGTGGGGAGGCCAGGTATTTGGCTTCTTTTGCTCAACATTTTGTCTAGGATTCATTGTGGATGGTTGAAGATTGTTCATTCTTATTGCAACAGAGTATACCATCATGGGTATACCAAGATTAATGCATTCTTTCTACTGCTGATGGGCATTTGGGTAGTGACCAGTTTGGGACCATTATGAGTAGTGTTGCTATGAACACTCTAGCAAACCAACACTGACCCCTTCTCTTTCTCTCTCCAGGAATGTTCTTAGTCAACTGCCAGATCAATTACCCCCTCTGCCACCCAGGCATTTGCCCTCTCCAGAAGATGCCTGTAAGTATATTTTACTGATAACAGTCTCATTCAGGGTATGATAATAAATTTATCTAGGTGTCTTAGTCATCTTGGGATCCCCATAAAAAAAAAAAATACCATAGATAAGAGGCTTAAACAACAGAAATGTATTTTCTCACAGTTTTGTAGGCCAGAAGTCCAAGATCACGGTGCTGGCCAATGTGCACTCTTCCTTGCTTGCAGAATCCCCACAAGGCCTTGCCTCCCTGCCTGTGTAGTGTGCAGGGGAGAGGGGCTCAGTGTGGGGAAGACAGAGAGGAGTTCTCTGGAGTCTCATAAAGACACTAATCCTATTGGACTGGACCCCCACTCTTACAACCTTATTTAATCTTAATTACTTCCACAGGGTCCCCACCTTCAAATGCAGCCACATTGGGGGCCCTGGATTAAGGCTTCAACACATTAATTTCACGGGGGCCCAGATATTTTGTCCATAACACTAGGATTCACAGATGGCAACATCTTGTTCAAAAGAAATGAGCAAGTTAAAATGGGGAAGAATAAATACTAATGCTCCCAATATTCAATGTGTAAATTCATACTCAAATGACAGCTTGGAGCATGAGTAGAAAGAAATTGAGGGTGTCACTGAGCCTCTTCCTATCAGAAAAACTGCTTGGTTCCCTTGATGGAAATGTTCTTCCTTAAGTTCTTTGCATAGCTGCCTGTACCTCATCCTTCCGCTGTCAGCTCAAATGTCGCCACCCCAGAGAGGCCATTCCTGATTTCCCTATCTAAAATAATCCTGCGAAGTTTCTTTATGAAACTTACAATTATCCAAAATTGTCTTCTTTAGTTGCTGTTCACCTGTTTATTACCTACCTCCTCCAGGAAATAATAACCTTTCTTGTCTTTTTTTTTTTTAAGATTTATTTTATTTATACATACAAGAGCTGGGGTACAGGCCAGAGATGCAGGGGAGTGAGAGGATTCACCAAAGACAGAGTGGAGAGCAGAACACAGGCAGACTGACTGAAATACACTGCTGAGGGGAGCAGCAGGCGAGACAGGAGAGGTCTGCTTCACCATGTGGGTTTCTCCCTGGCCGGCCGGGGATCGAACTCGTGCTGCAGAGGCTGCGGATTGCTTCACAGTGTGGTGCTTAACCCACAATGCCACCAGGGAGGCCCACCTTTCTTGTCTTTTTTACCACTGTTTACCCATCAATAAGAACCAGTGTGTGGAACTTAATGGATAATTAATAAAATTGTTTGACTGAATGAATAAATCTTATTAGCTAACATTTATTGAGCATGCCCTGTGTGTCAAGCCCCATGCTAGGCACTTCACAGTGGTTATCTCATTTAATTCTCTCAACAACTCTATCAGGGAGATACATTATTATTGCCTTTCAACAGTTGAGGAAACTAAAGCACAGACAAATTAAGTGACTTACTGATGGTCACACAGCTAGTGACTACCAGAGCATGAACTCGAACTCAGCTCTGTCTAGTTGCAGAACTCTGCTAGAAATGAAATGGTAGTTATTTGGGGGCTCTCTTAGGAACAGATGAGACAGTGGTCAAGGCAGTTTCAGGCCCCATCAAAGGTGGATCTGAATTGCTTCATCATCCTTTCCCTAGACACCTTAGTGCTTTTGCTATGTATCCTTGCACCTTTTGAAAACACCACTGTTCCCTTCCTTCTGAATGGAGAGATTACAACATGAACAAATTACCAACAATTCTGGAAACTGGTATAAGTCATTGTGAGGGCTGTGCCCAAAGGGAAATATGGTTTGTATCACTTCCTTATGAGAATTAGGATCTATAGGCATGACACTACTCATCTGGCTACTGGCTCTGGAAAGTTTCTGGTCTAAGCTTCTGCTTCATGGTTCCCACTGAAGTGCAACCTTAGGCAAAGGGACAGAGAAGATATCTGACCAACCAACATTTACTTACTTGGGTGATCCTGAGACTGTCATGTCTATGCCTCAGTTTCCTCTGTATGATGAGAATCAGATCCATCAAGAAGTTGAAAGATCACCAAAACCCATGAAAATCACATTGATTTACCTACTTGGTAAAATGTATATAAATATACAATAGTTTTGCATCTAAGGCACTTTTTGTGTATTCTAGCCCCACAGGAACCTCCGGGGCAGTTACCAACAACAACATACTCATCAGTAAATAAAGTTGGACATAAGAAGACAGTTTCGATTCCAAGTTATATTGAGCCTGAAGATGACTATGATGATGTTGAAATCTCTACAAATATGGCAAGCCATCATTTTGAAACAACTGTTTCTTCTTTTTGGAAAGCTGAAGAAGGGTCACACAATTTATTTTAAAAAGTAGAGAAGGATTGAACTACTAGAGGTATCTGGAGCCCAAAAACCAGTGGTAATGTTATGAAGTTCTGTTAAGATAAGTACTTCCTGAACTTTAGCTGAAGAAGCTTCAACGATCAGATGACAGCAGCCAGAGGACAGATGTTTGTGCTCAGCCCCGAAGACTGATGGGAGTCGGGCCTTAAGATTCCATCAAGGAGTTTACACAGGGAGGACCACTGGGCTCCATGGCTCCCACCTGAGAAAATGACTCAATTCTCAGCACACTTGCCCTCTCCTTCCCTAGTTTGTATGGTTCTAAGTGACTGTACTTAGAAGCCATGCTTCCTAAGTGATCTGAAATCTTGGATTTTGATATTACAGGGCCTCCCAGGCTCCTAAATCCAGGAAGGCTGCCACTGAGCATACCATCTTGCCAACACCCATCTTGTCCACCACCCTAATTGAGGCACTGTGGGTGGTAGTCACAGTTACAGTCCAGTGTCTTATGGGAACATTACTTCTTCGTGCCTTGTAAGTTCTTCAAGGGTGGGGAATACTTTTTGTTCTTGTGAACCCCTCCCTGCTTGTACACACCCCAAACTCCAGTGTCTCTATGATCTTGACCAAACTGACCACAGGGATTCAAGTTCTCCCTGGGGTTTTTTCCTATGCTTCCCGGTTGCCCTGTAACAATCAACAAAGGGTAGAAGTTACCTTCTGATTTACACATAGAGGCTTCCTTTTGCAATACATATATTGGAGGAGCTACAGAAAAAGTAGGTTTCCTCAGGAAAAATCATGGGGGGGCCTCTCTGGTGGTGCAACGGGTTAAGATGCAACCTATGAAGGGCCTCCCCGGTGGCGCAGCGGTTGAGCGCTGGGTTGCGAAACTGCCCGCGCCCGAGGCGCCGGTTCGATCCCCGGCTGCTCCCCGGCCACCGGAGGAGGGTCCCACATGGCGCGCAGACCTCTCCTGCTGCCCGCTGCTCCCCTCAGCAGTGTACTTTGGTTCTTCTGCCTGCTCTGCTCCCCGCTCTGGCTCTGGTGAATTCTCTCACCCTCCCGCGTTTCTGACTGTACCCAGTGCTTGTATAAATAAACAAATAAATAAAAACAAATAAAGCATGCCTCTATAAAAAAAAAAAAAAGATGCAACCTATGAAACCTATGAAGCTATCCACAGCCACTGTAGCACGAGTTTAGTGCCTGGTCAGGGAGCTACCCACATGGCACAGCAGACCTCTCCTGACTTGCCCACTGCTTCCCTCAGCAGTGTATTTCAGCCGATCTGCCTGTTCTATTCCCCACTCTGTCTCCGGTGAATCCTCTTACCCCCTACACCTCTGGCCTGTACCCCAGTTCTTGTGTGCATACTTAAATAAATCTTTTTTAAAAAATCATGGGGAACAGAAAAGAAAGTGGTCATTAAATGGCTGACTCAGGATGAGACTTCAGGGGATTTAACACCCTCTCAATTTTTATGACTGCCTTACATAGAGTTTTATGCAAATAGAGTCAAGGTCTTTCCTTCCAGATCACTGTCCCTGAGTGTCTGAGAGGCAGAAACTCCAGGGCTATGTACTGCAGCTAACAAGACGCCAATGGGGTGGACCGCTATCCTGTACCAAGTGCCCCAATAGGGGTCACCAAGGCCTAAGTCAGCTTTGTATATTCCTGGTCCTCATCAATTTCTTCAAGTGGAACAGCTGGAGCCCCGGGACTTGATGTCTCTAAGCAAGCTCACAAGATACTGATTTCTAAGCAATTGCCAGGGAATCCAGCTAAGGAGCAGACTTGCAGGGACATTACCATGATCCATGAAAAAGCCCCAGAGTGACTCTTGAACTGAGCTCCTTCACCAGAAATGGAAAGTGTGTTCCTGCCACATTCAAGATTCCTCCCTCAACTAATGATGCACCAGTAGGGACTTGCGCTTCTCTCTCACTGGACTCCATGGAGACTTGTAGCTTCTGGTTAGTACCTCCTTACTTTAGGCCTGTGATTGTTCAAACTACGGTCTCATGGAACTGTGGAACACATATATACATGTATATACATTAAAAAAATGCTAAAGAAGTGTTTCAGATGTATGCTTTCCTCTTACGAATTTTCTGTAAACTGTCCACATTTATGACAAAAATTAAAAGCCACTACCAGACAAATGCTAACTTTTTCTTGGTTTCCAGGGCACCACCATCTCATGGCTCTCTCCTGCCTGTCTGGCCTGACTCACTCTTGTTTGGAGGGCCCCTCTCTCTGAAACATTTCTTCCTTGCTGGTCTTCCTCAAGGTTCTGACCCCATCCCTGCCTCATCTCACTAATAATGCCTGTGGACTCGGCGCCTCTTCTATTCTGAAGACTTCCAAATCGCAGATTCCAGCTGAGCCCTCTCCTCACTTCCAGACTGCGTTACCTCCAGGACATCTCCATATGACTCTCCCATGGTCCCTCAAGTTCGACATATAATGAAAGGAAATGATGACCTACCCCTATTTCAAACTGTGCTCTGCCATCTTCATTGCTGGGGTTAGAAACTAGCACACTGCCTGGAGTCCTTCTGTGCAATGCTCTCTGCCTCCTGTTGATTGTCCCTCTCCAGTAGCTCTCCGATTCAGTTCACATTTCTCCAGCGTTGCCAGCACTTGCCAAGAGAATTTCAAGTCTCCCAACTGCTGGCACCTTACCCTCCAATCTCCTCTCTTACACAACAGCCATTGATTTTCTAAAGCGATCATCTGACTGCTCCATTCCCTTAGCTTATATCTCTACATTACCCGTTATAGCTCTTCTTTACCCATTATTCACAGAAAAAAAGATAAATTCCGAATATGGGTTACACTATTTGCCAGGATCTCCGGTTATCTCTTGCGAACTCTCTCTTTCCCCATCCCCTTGCAATGCCCACTGCACCCAATCTTTTTCTCCAGCCATTTCAAATGATGTTGTTCATGGTCTCTCTGACTCCCGTGTCCACACACAGTACTCTCCCCTCTGTCTGGCACACTCCCCCTACCTCTTGATCCTTCCCATCTCAGCATTAGCTCCATCCTCACTGCTCCAAACTTGGGTCTGGGACCCCTGGATGCTCTCCTTTCATAGATGGACATGCTGTAATTACCTACTTACCTGTCATTCTTCCCCACTAGACTGAAAGCAACATGAGGACAAGGACTGTGTCTTCCTTTCCCCCCTTTCACAGTGCCCAGGCACATTGTAGATGCTCAATAAATATGTTGAATGATCAATTGAATGAAAGCATGAACTTCTCTGGGATCTCACTGCTCCTATACCTGACCCTGTGGGCACACTTCTCCTGCTGCATGATAATTGCCTTTTCTACCCTCCTTCTTCCTAATGTGGCTCTTTTGGGGTAGAACTTGTCTGACTCACTGATGTATTCCCAGTGCCCAGCACAAACCCTGGCACAAAGTAGCACTTAATAAATACTTATCGGGTGCTGAACGTTAATGGAAATCTACCAATCAGTATGACAAAAACAAACAGGCAGTTTTTCTCTGGGTGTATATAATTTGGTTAAATTGTTATACTTACCCATATAAAGTTTGTAATCAAGTCATGCTTTCTGCCAATGAAGTTGTTACCAGTTTGGATGTGGAATTAAATATACCAAGATTTCACAGGGTCTTTTTGTATATTCTAGCTCAACGGGAAACCCCTAGTCATCCACCAGCTACATACTCATAGGAAAATAAAGTTAGAAAAAAAAATAGAAGAGTTTCCATGCCAAGCTACCTGGAGTCTGAAGATGATTACTACAATGTTGAAATCGCTATAAATATTGAAAGCTGTCATTTTGAAACAACTCCTATTCTACCACTGGAACTATTTTGAGAACTGATGGTTTACCCATGCCACAAATCAGTGAAGTGTAGTTTTCTTTAAAATAGTAAATGGTCTAATTTCTTTTGTGATACAAATAAGAATGCTTACAGGAAATGCTGTAGTATTACCGTATATTTATTAGTATGCTTTAGGCTGCAAGGAACAGATTCTCCAACTAAAGGTAACGTAGGCGAAGAGCAATTTATTTACCTCTAGACTCACAAAACAAGTCTAGAGGTAAACACTCCAGAATTCAGCAGCTCCATGACTTATGACTATTGGCTGATTTTTCTTTCTTTTTTTTTAAGATTTATTTTATTTATTTATGCACACAAGAACTGGGGTGTAGGCCAGAGGTGCTGCAGGGGCAGGGGGAGGGAGAGGAGAGGATTCATCAGAGACAGTGGGGAGCAGAACAGGAGGATTGACTGAAATACACTGCTGAGGGGAGCAGTGGGCAAGACCGGAGAGGTCTGCTGAGATCTTGTGCGTTAGCTCCCGGGCCAGGGATCAAACTTCATGCTGCAGTGGGTACTGATAGTTTCACAGTGCTGAGACTTAACCCTTTGCGCCACCAGGGAAGCCCCTTGGCTGATTTTTCTTTGATTCTTTTCGCTTTACTCTCGTGGTGGCAAGGTAGCTGCCACAACTCTAAGCACCACATCCTCTAGGGATAACATTCAAAGTTAGGAAGGAAAGGAGTGTTTCCTTCCATGAACTCTTGTTATTAGGAAGGAAAATCTTTTCCAGAAGCCCCCAGCATCATCTCCTATAAAGTCTCATTGGCCTGAATTGGTTCACATGCCCAGCAAGAGGAAAGGCTCAGGGGTGAACATTGGGAATTTCAGGTAGGTTTTGCCATCAAGGACAAGGAAGGAAATAGCTGCTGGATGGGCATCCTGCCATCTCCCAGAGTCAGTTCACTTTAACAAATGACACTATTTGCTCTTTTCTCAGTTGTTCTCTTAGAGGTGTTAGGGAGTTTAGGGTAAGAAGTGGTATCTATAAAAATAGACAAAGTATTGCCAGTCAGATGAGGATAATGACAGTAGCATCAATAGAAACAATAACAAGAGCCAATTTTTTTTATTAAAAAAAATATTTATTGTATTTATTTTATGGTTTACTTTATTCTTTTATTTTATTTTTATATTCCCCATACAATTGCAACCCCCTTATTTTGACCCTTAATCCCTCCTTTCCCCCCGCCCCTGCTCTCATGGTATGTCTCTGGTTCATAGTTGTTTGTTGATTTTGATTTTTTCTTTCTTATAGTTACTCTTTTTCCTGGTCCCTTGTTTAGGTTTTCTAGATTCCTGCTATGAGTGAGACCATCCGGTATTTTTCTTTTTCTTTCTGGCTTATTTCGCTGAGCATGATCCCTTCCAGCTCCATCCATGTTGCTGCAAATTGCATGTGTTTATCTTTTTTGAATGCTGAGTAATATTCCATGGTATATATGTACCACATCTTCTTGATCCAGTCATCTATTTTGGGGCATTTGGGTTGTTTCCAAAGCTTAGCTATTGTAAATAGTGCTGCTATAAACATAGGCGTGCAGGTGCTACAAGAGCCAATTTGACAGCACTTTCTCTGTGTCAGAGGATTTCACTGTAAAATGTAACTGTGACCTTGAACTGGCAGGACTGGAGGGATATAATCAGAGAAGAGTTTTATCCTCCCTCTAGCTCTTCACCCTTGCTGTTTCTTAAACCTACTCTGATGTGCTTGTCCTTTCCTGCCCTTTGAGTAAAATGTCAGGCAAGGGTCCTTGGTTTTTCTGGTCATTCGTAAGGTAATAAAAGGCCCTCCAGATGTCTGCATTTGTCAAAATTCAGGGAGTATTTTCTTAAGATTTCTATATTTCAACCTAGATAAATTTTACCTCAAAAGAAAAATACTGTAAACAAAT